GGTCAGGAGTGAGGGGTGGCGGGGGGCTGCGGGGCGGGACTGAGGGGCCCCGTCTCCCCGCAGGGCACCTTCCTGGAGTGCCACCCCGACCTGCGGGTGACCCACCGGTTCCACAAGGGCTGCGTGTCCCAGCTGAACGGGCTGATTTTCTGCCCGCACTGCGGCGAGGACGCCTCGGAGGCCCAGGAGATCACCATCGCCCGGGCTGACACCTCAACCCCTGCCCCCCCGCCCCCCGGCCAGGAGCCCCCCCGACGCCCCCGGCCGTGCCGACACCACCCAGCCCAGGTGAGCCCCCGGGGGGATATCGCGTCAGTGGGGGGGAGGGGCACCGCGGGGGCCGTGTCGGGGAGGGGGTGTCCCGGTCTCTGACCCCCCCCTACCCTGCTGCCCCCTCCTCTCCCGTTCAGTGCACGGATGCGGGGGAAGGGCGAGGGACGGCTGGTCCCCCACGACCCACTGGCCGACGGGATCGACAGCTCCGGGGGCCCCGTGCTGACCCTGCCGTCGGGCGCTGCCATCTCGCCGCTGGGGCTGGGCCCGGGGCCGGGCCGTGAGCAGCTCGAGAAGGCCTTGATCGTGCAGGAGGCTGAGAGGTGGGACCCCCAGACCCTCCCCCACCCCTTTCCCATGACCCTCCTGCTCTCTGTGATCCCACTTCACCAACCAATATACCTGTCTCCACCCCAGCCACTGAGATCCCACGGCACCCACCAATACATTGTCCTGCCCCTTGAAATCCAGTGCCCTGTGGGTGCCCCACAACCCTCCCCCTGGCATCCACCTCTCTCTGTCCCCTGGTATCGCCCATCTGTGACTCGCGGCACCCACTTATTTTCCCCCCCACACACACACACACACGTCCCTGTGATCCCAGGGAAACCACCAGTCCTCCTCCTTCTGGTCCCCCAGGGCTCCCTCCCCGACACAGCTGTGATCCCACCGCACCCACCAATGCTCCGTCCTTTGGCCTCCCCTTCCCTCTGCGTCCCCCGCCAGCCCAGCCACTGACCCCGTCTCGTTCCCTCGCTCCGCCAGGCGGAAGAAGCTGCGGTTCCACCCGCGCCAGCTCTACCTCTCCGTCAAGCAGGGCGAGCTGCAGAAGGTGCTGCTGATGCTGCGTGAGTGGGGGCCCTGGGGGAGGATTGGGGGGGCCGCGGGGCAGGGAGGGTCTGTGACCCTGCTCCGGGCTCTGATCCTGTTCCCCAATTCTCTGCCTCCCCCAGTCGACAACCTGGACCCCAACTTCCAGAGCGACCAGCAGAGCAAGCGCACCCCGCTGCACGCCGCCGCCCAGAAGGGGTACCTCGAGATCTGCCACGTGCTGCTGCAGGTGGGGGCAGGGGGAGGGGCTGGGCAGGGGGTGGGGCGGGGTGTGTCTGGCAGTGGGCGTGGTCAGATTCTGGCTCTTAACCCCGCCCCAGGCTGGCGCCAACATCAACGCGGTGGACAAGACGCGCCGGACGCCGCTCATGGAGGCCGTGGTGAGCAACCAGGTGGAGACGGCGCGGTACATCGTCCGCCGGGGCGGCTGCGTCTACAGCAAGGTCAGCGCGGGGGGTGGGGGGCCAAGGGGAGGGGCCGGGGGGCGGACGGTGGGTGAGCGCAGGGAGGGCGGGGGATACCTGCCTGCCAATCACAATATAGTCTTCCCCCCCCAGGAGGAGGATGGTTCGACCTGCCTCCATCACGCGGCCAAGTGCGGGAACCTGGCTATGGTCTCTCTGCTGCTGGCCACGGGGCAGGTGGACGTCAACGCCCAGGTGAGTCGGGGACCCAGGCGTCCGGCTCCCAGCAAGGGGCTCTGCCCGGGCAGTCAGGGCTCCCCATGGCCCCAGGGCGGCGCTAGGGGCTGTGCTGCAGGGAGCGGGGCAGGGGGCAGCAGGGGGCTCTCCCCGGGCAGTCAGGGCTCCCCATGGCCCCAGGGCGGCGCTAGGGGCTGTGCTGCAGGGAGCGGG